TTTTTATGTTTCCTTCTTATTATTATCAATTTTGTATTAAAGAATAATTTTACAAAGGAAAAAAACATATATGGACATATTTTGCATATAATTATATGTGGAACTTTTTTTCCCGGGTAGGTGTCAGTTAATTAATTTATTAAAACGCCTATAATGCGTTAGGGGAATAGTTATTTAAGTTTACGCGGTCTGAGAACGTGTTAGATAGTTCTTATTGCAAGAAATGTTATCACATGCTTCGGTAGTCTAAAGGTAGGACATCCGTCCGGTAAACGTGAAGATCCGGGTTCAATTCCTGGCTGAGAACATGAGGTGATATTTTTTCACAATAAATTCTTTACAAATTCGAGGAGAGAAGATCCTATAGATACAAGTTAGCACTTATTTGGAGTCACAAAGGGGGGAAGAGAGTGATTTATTAAAAGATGCAAGTAAGCATCAGCACTCATTAAATTATTTAACAGAGTAATGATACGGTTCTGTTTCAATCAAATGCTGCGTTAAATCCGATAATAACGGCTCAGTTCGTTGAAGCTTGAGTATGTAAAATCACATAGTTATATTAACTGACACCTATATTTCACTCATCTTTGGCCTCTTATCCTGACTATTGTTTATAATACGAGCTGGTAATTCATTTAGTTATTTAATAAAGTTAATTTTTAAGAAAGAATTTGGTCTCTTCTACTCTATTGCATTATTATACATATGACCACATGTGATTTATCTACTTGATGATAACAAAAAATATGTTTATTGTTTCCTTTCTTTTTCGATTAAAATAAGAAAAAGCATTAGAATATTAAAAAGCATTTCCTTTACTTTAGAACGACATGTATGTACGTTTTAAGATATTTTAAGATAACAATTGTAGGGAAATATATATCACGATCGACATACGTGCTTATCACAAATGTCATTCGTGCTTGGCAATATTCGGCCACTTTGACCTTATTTGTATTTTCTTATTTTCAAGATTCAAACGACACGATCGTTTGAAATCTGTGAGCCGTCGGCAGTCGTTCCCCAGCCGCGCTGCGAATCAGCAGTAATTATAATAAATGTATCTCATATCTTATCTCGTATCTTCGACTTTATTTCGTTCCTAATAACTACTCCTACGCAATGCATGTTTTTCTGAAACTAAGGGAAATATCTTTCCTTTTCGATGTGATAACAATATGATGAATCATGCGATGACTCGCTATCCCTAGATCCCTTCCGTATCTCTATTTTTTTTTGTATAAATAGAGGACCCTCTATCTGCAGTGGCAGTTCATCTCGTCCATCAGAAGAATACACATCTTGTGACACGCGAGTAATAAAGTACTGTAAGAAATTACTGTAAGATTTATTGAATAAAATTGGTTTTTTATAAAGTGACAATTCTCGCGAATCTTACATACAAAAGTGCAGAATTTATTGCCACAAAATTAGGCATTAATGAAGATTAGCATTTTATACATGGTTACTGGAGAAAGAAGAAATCCGGTTTTCTGAAAAATATTTTATACGTAAGTGTAAATTATGTTTTACTTATATATGTTTATTTAATACATATAATGCACATATTTGGATAGACAAAAATCCAAATAGATTTAAAATAAGAGGCTATTAACATCATTTTAATATAAACTTATAAACCGACATAATGGATAACATAATAGTAAATAACATTCTATTTAGATTTTCTAATTTATTAAAATAAGTTACAAACTTTTATAAAATTTTTAACATAACATGTAATATTTTAATTACACAATAGTAATAATTTTGATACAATATCTTAGTTTGGACCTGTTGAAGTAAGAGTAACAGAAGAATTTTATACACATTTTTTAAGAAATAATCTTGTTGATTTAATGGACAATATGCCTTCAGTTCAATGGCAAAATTAAATTCAACAGGGTGAAACACCACTTCATAATTCTATTAATGTGCATCAAATGTTAAATACTAATTTTCTGGATGCATAGACAGGATGCGGAGATCCAATAAGTTAATAAGTCAACATTAGATAAGGCAACATCACTTGATTAAACGATATTGGCCTATTTTTTCCTAGAGTATTAAACATAATATTAAAGAATATATTTATTGGGAATAAATTAATTATCGTATAGAAATTGCGAAGAAAATTATTGAAGCAATTGTGTTGCGGAATGCGCATAAAAATTGTTAACTTAAATCTGCAATTAAATTCAAGAAATTAACATTGGCAATTTATTTCTGCGTTACAACGAGAATTAAGAATAGGATAAACCCGATATATATGCCGCACCTATTAAAAACTTAATTTATCAGATATTATCTATTAAGTTTAAGTTAAATGAACTATGCCAGTAAAAACTTTATACTGTTTACTATTATAAAAAAATATTAGGAATCCAAATTATTTATTTTTTATATTATATAGATTATAACTTATGATTGCGCTACTTATTACAATAATAAATCAATTCAACTTATAATAATTTTATAAATATTAACAGTAAAAAACTGAAATCACAACACAATACTAATATAACATAAAGTCATGTAACAGAATGGTTGCGAGAAAATTAGTTTCACTTCTTCTATTTTTTCTGATTTCTGCGGCGTAAATCCTCGCGCGGCGTATATACCGGGTTTACCCTATTGCTTAAAAGTGCGAGCTCGGAAAAGAATGTTAGTTGACCTCGCATTTTTTCTTGCAAAAACAAATTGTTAATGTCACCTTCGCCAGCGAAAGTAACGACATTTCACGCGTCATAATTAACGATATAACTCTAACAAATTGTTGCGAGCGCAGTCACGTGGTATTCCCGCGGCCTATTCTATTCGCGGAAATGGGCTTTCCGCCGATAACTAAGTCATTGGCGCGGCGTTCATGTACGCCAATGCTGCTAGATCGCGTCTAGCGACGACCTTCAAACAAAAGGGTTTGATTGGTCTTTCGTAGGATCGTCGCCGGCAACCGCGTTGTAATAAAAATCGCGCTCCTGCGAAGGGACACTCTTCGGTGAAAATTAGTAAAAGCCTAAAGATCGCATAATCGTATCGTTCGCTCTAGTTAAAGTTGTTGTAAGTATAGCGACTTACAACCAGATGTCCAAATGCGCACGCAGCAACTCAAATGTGGAGCGATCCTATTTTAGCACCCTTTAGGTTCAGTATCCTACTGTTACGTCCTGAGGACTCCACGTTTCTTTTCTTTCGTGTCAGTCAGCCGCCGGACGCGGGAAGTCGATTAGCGGCGACTATTTTATTACGTGATGGAATTCAAGACTTCCTGCGTTCTAAGAAGCGGAGGCGCGAGAGCCGCCAATAAGAGGAATAAATTTAATCGCATCAATTAATTCTTAAACTCTTTATAATTCATTAAACGACCTCACCCTCGTTCACTTCCCCCTCCCCTGCAGAAAATCGCACTGGTCCGATCCTGAGTCAAAAGGATTAAGTTCCTTGACCGAAACAGGACCAACGATCGCGCTGGCTTGAGATCGAGTAACATCGTCCCTTCCGGACGTTGACTCGTCCGTCAAGCCCGGTTAAAGCGCCTTCGACTCGCACATATGCCACCGCGCCTATTTGCGAGACAGGCTATCTGGTTACGTCCTTCCGTATCCCCCTCCTTCTCTTGAATCCAGCCTCGTTTCTAAACGGGGCTCTCTTTGATTTTTCCTTTCTTTAAAGATAAATAATTTCCCGGGAATTGGACGTAACACTACTTTAAATTCAAACTTTAATGTAGGGCATACGCAATAATCACGCCACGATTATTGCGTATGAAAACTTGCTTCCAAAAAATTGTCTTGTGCTGTTCTTACGTTTAATCGCCTTCTGCAAAACCTTTTAAGTTTTCTTTGTGAAGCGTGCTCGCGTACAAATTGCAAACGTAACTCCAAAAATCATCTATAGCGCAACTTTTAGGAGCAAAGAAAAAATTTAAAAGTAAAATTCTCATTTTTCCTACTTAATTAATATTAACATCTTACAAGAAAATTGTTTGTGCTTATATTATAGATTCGCTATGGTATTTGCGGAATTAATCGGAGCTTTTATCGTTGCCCTGAGCATCCTGTATATTTATTATAAGTTTGTAATATTCAATTTCTGGCGCAAGAGAGGTGTTTTTTACGTCGAACCCGTGGTACCGACAGGGAATGTAACAGCTGTCGTAACAGGAAAAGTGCAAACAGGTGAGTATCTTTATTATATCTTTTCTAATATTAATATACAAGAAAAATGCATATTTATTTTATATATAACCCTCTTTTATTAACCGTCTCTTATTAACTTAAATATTCAACTAATATTGAGAAGACAAAATTATTTCAAATGTATTTCTATTTTTCTGAAATCAACAATGATTCACATATATTGTTGCTTATCATACTTCTATTTGAAGTAAAAAGTTGCAAATGTAATTAAACTAAAACTTTTCATTAACAGGCGTATTTTTGCACGATGCTTACATGAAATATAAGGAACATCGCGCTTTTGGAATGTATATATTTTTTAAACCAAATTTGATAATCGCTGATCCTGATCTTATTCAAACGGTGCTAACAAAGGAATTTGGAAGTTTCCATGATCGTGGAATGTATCACAACGAACAGGTCGATCCATTGTCCAACAATTTGTTTTTTATGCCTGGAAAAAAATGGCGAAATATGCGTGTTAAGTTGACACCCACTTTTACTTCGGGAAAACTAAAGCAGATTTTCCCTATTCTGAAGGAGATTGGCAATGTATTTGCAAAGCAATTAGAGAGCAAAGCACAAATGAAAGATTCCGTCGAGATGAAAGACATGTTTATAAGGTAAACTATTTTTTAAATGTTATTATTAAAAAGAACAATTTTCTTTGTTATAATAAAATTTTTTAAAAAGGAGGAACACTTTCAAGATAAAATTTGATACTATAAATATTGTCGCTGTAAACCTTTTAGAAATAAAAGAAATAAACAGCATATCACTCTTATTGAAAAATTTTTGAGTCAGGTAAATTATGCATTTGTTCTTGTTCGACGGAAACATGGAAACATATTCACAGATTATGATAACGAAGAAAAAGGATTTCTTAATGTATAATTTTATTAAAAAAGAAAAGATAATTGACAAGATCACATTTAATTCCAAATTACAAATACAAATCAATATAAGAAAAAAAAATTTAACAAAGTTTTTCTTTAGAAATGAAATATAAAAGATATAAGACTTTATACGTAAATCTCAGTCAAGAATATATCGATTCTTCAATTAAAATCAATTTTTTAAACCTATTTTTATAACATTACCAACTTGTTTTTTTTTCTTATTCTCGCCGTATTTTTATAATTAACATTCCAAGTAATACATTATTTATAACATTAAGTCTATAAGAGTCAATTACACAATACTGTTACAAATGTAACCATTAACAGTTTCATAATTTATATTATTGATTTATATTATTAACATAAATATTACAATAGATGCAACACAAAATATAAATAAGACGACAATAATACTACCTTCCTCTTTACAAATATTAAAATTAGAAATAAATTGATTCATTTATTTTAAAAATGTCTTTTTGAGAGTTTTTACATACTATTATATTATTAAACATTTTTCAATTATATATTTTAATTTCAACATATTTTAATAATTTTTATTTAATAATTAATGTCAACTGGAATTTTTAATAAATAATTTTCAAAATTTTTATCGAGGAAAGTACAAATACTTTGTTATCTATTTTAGACATTTAAGGTTATTTCCAGACTTTTGAAACAATCTTTTTTGAAGCTTCTTTCGATTTTATTTATCCCGGAAGTATTATGCTTCGTTCCAAATGTTAATTATCTTATTTTATTTATATAAGTTTAAATTATTCTCATGATACTTTTCAACACTTGGTGTTATTCGGTGTTCGAAAAGAATTATTAAAATTTTTTATAAATTATTATCTGTTAATTTATTGTAGATATTCAATAGACGTAATCATGTCAACGGCTTTTGGAATCGAATCTAATTGTATTAAGGAACCAAATAACGAATACAAAATCCAAGGAAAAAAAATGTTTGTAATGAATCCAATTTGGATTGCACTTTTTCTGTTTGCACCACAAATAATGGATTTTTTTTCTATCCCCCTCACACACCGACATGTCACCAAATTTTATATGAATATGTTCCGAAAGAGTGTGGAATATCGACAAGCTAATAAAATTGTCAGACACGACTTTATGAATTTGCTTATACAACTCATGGAGAGAGGCTACATTGATCCTGATGATAACAAGGAGACTACCAATATGTCACGTAAATATACATATATTACTTGTTTACTTTTACATTATACATATACATTAATAATTTCTCCATATGTGTTAAAAAATAAAAATGTACATATAGCCTGAGATAAACCAAGTTTGCAGAGACATTGACTGCATTCAACAGGAAAAGCGGCTTTGCAGCTGTTTTAAAATTCGTTAGTATAATTGATTTATACATTTAGATCTATGAAGAGCTAAGGGTAAGAACCAATCATGTTGAAAAATTTCACAACAGTTGCAAAGCTGCTTTCTCTACTGAACGCAGCCAAAATTTGGACATAACATGATATTAATCAATGTTTAATCGTAGAATGACAACATATTGCACACAGAGTTTAATACATATAACAATGTCAGCAAACTGTTATTAGAAATATAAGTCTGCTGACATAATCTGACGGCAGATTAGCGATAGAATAGAATAGAATCTGCGCGATATAATCTGATGGCGAAATGGCAGTAAAAATCGAGCAGATCTCTCAAGCGCAGAGTTGTCAGATTGTCGACAAAAACTGAGTAGAATCTGCGCTATCACTATTAAGTACTTGCAAAACTGTCGCTATGTGTTAGTATCCGTTTCTCGCAAAAAAATAAAAATATCATTTTTAATAATCTTTCAATACCGCAATGATGTCACAATTTAAATATTTAGAACAAAACAGCAAAATCTGCTCGATTTCTGCTGCCAATTTAAACGAATTTGCTATCATCAGATTCCGTCAGTATAAGATCCTGGTCGCTAGTCTGCGGTCAAGTTTTGTCAGCAGGTT